AATTATCTAAACTTGACAAACCTCATGTACACATACATAAAAATAATTATATATAAATGCGATTGTACAGCTATGTGAATGAATTCGCTGAACGTCTTCTCTTCTTCATATGTCACAATGGAGATTTTTAAGCTACTTAGATAAGTTTGTTTGATGCAACTTTCCATATCTCCGGTAAAGAGTGTTGCGTGATTTTGACTGCATTTGTTCGGTTTGGATTCGATAAACAAAAATCCATTTGGATGTTATTGTCTCTAAAATCATCTGATAGCTCAAGTTCTGTTTGTATATTTGCTGTCCTGCTGAAACATTGTTTACGAGATTTGATGGGATCTCTTCTCCACAACTAAAAACAGCTTAGATGTGCCAAAGAGATTTAGCATAAATCATGTGATAATGCTGATGTTCGAAGAATAAACACTCTGATTAAGTCGAAATGGGATATGTGATGAAAAATATTTATCATATAGGAATGCTTCTAACATCTGGAAACTTTTTAATCAACTTACAAACAAAAGACAAATTTCCGTTGATGTTTATCCTGATGTAAATGCCTTAAATAGAGCTTTTATAATGCAACAAACCAATGTCACTGAACCTGATGTTTCTGGTCACGTGAATGATTATTCCCCTGGTTTTAATGATTAGGGTGTATTTCTCTGTCTCAAATCCTCAAATCCATCACACAGCTTGGGTTCAGCTGTGTATAATCATTACTTCAAAAGTGTGCAGATATCATGCGTTATCCTCTTATGCAAATCTTTAATGCATGATTTCACAGGGATACAGTATCTGTCGCTTCGAAAGAAATAAAGGTGGTGCCTGTACTAAAATCATCTTCTGGATCAGGTTTAAAGTTTAGGCCATTCGCCATCACACCTCCATTTTAAGAAACTACTGGGGAACTTCGCCTGCATTTTCGTAAATCTTCCTTGAGATTGGTTGGAGTGTTTCATCATGTGCTGACCTCAGTGAGAGAACCCTTAGAAAACCAGCTGGGAGTACTAGACAGCCATTTCGTCCTAGTTCGGGACTCTTCATTAGTACGCATCCACTGACAGGGTCAACTCACAAGGAGAGCTAGCTCATAGACCATTAAGCCACTGGGACGCGATCCAATGACCAGTCCATGAATTCTAACTTCTGCCAATTCATGACATAGCGCAACCACTTCGCAATGTCTTCTTCGTTGTACAGTACTCCAAGGTTTTCCAGTTGTTCTCTAATTGATGTAAGCTCATGTTGAAACCCTCAAATCAATCAAAAACAACCCCTACAAAATCAATACTTTTTTGAAATCTTTCAGTGACTCAAATCAGTTTGCTTATAAATACAGTAGGAGTACTTTAGTTGCTGCCTTTGTTGTTGAGTTTTGATAAAGGTGCAAAGTTTGTTCGG